AACTCATTTATCTGTTGATAGACACTTCTGTTGTTTCCAATTCTTGGCTATTGTGAATAATGCTGCAATGAATATAGAGGAAGTACAGATAGCTCTTCAAAATAGTTATTTTATCTTATTCAGATATATACCAAGAAGTCAGGTTGCTGAATCATATGATAATTCTATTTTTAACTTTTTTTAATGTCCTCCATACTGTTTCCCATAGTATCTCTACCAATTTACATTCCCACTAATAGTGCACAAAGGTTCCACATCTTCACCAGCATTTGATATCTCTTGTCTTTTTTATAATAGCCATTCTAACAGGTATGAGATAATATTTCATTGTGGTTTTGATTTGCATTTCCTTGATAGATAGTGATGCTGAGAACCTTTTCATGTACTTGTCAGCCATTTGTATGTCTTCTTTGGAAAAATGCCTATTCAAGTCCTCTGCCAATTTTTTAATCAGGTTGTTCGGTGTGTGTTTTTTATTGTTGTTTTATTTTGTTTTGTTTCTGTTATAAAGTTGTATGCGTTACTTACATATTTTGGATATAACCCCTTATCAGATATATAGTTTACAAATATTTTCTCCCAAACTCAAGAGTTGAGTGTTATTGCTAATTGTTATAACAGAACCTTAAATAGGGAAGTTACATGATCAGAGCAGTGATTCTATAAAGATTTGTCTGGTTGTGTTTTCTAATACTGATTTGCAGGGGAGAAGACAAAGGGTTGGAGCCATTTTCACTCCAGCTGCAATGAAAGATTTTGACTTGGATGGGGTAGTGAGAATGGCAAAGGTATAAAAGAGCTTTTGTGAAACATCAACTAGTGTCTTGAAATGGTGGTTGATAGAAAAGGAAGAATCAAGGATGTTTTTAGTGTGTGAGTGTGTTGTAATATAATACAATCATTAACAAAAATAAAGAAGTTAAGAAAGGAAGTTGGATTGAGTTTGAGTAAAATGATAAGTAAATGTGGTTTGGAACTTAATGTAACTGGGTTGACATCATGTCACCTACTTGGAAAACACCAACCAATTCTTGAAAATAAAGAATTAGAATTCAGATTAAAGGATAGGACTAAAATAAACTTGTGATAAATAACAGAGAATGTAGCCTGAAAGTGAGGGATGGAAAAAATATTCCATATAAATAGAAATAAACAAACAAAAAGGCTGGGGTAGCAATATTTATATCTGACAAAATAGACTTCCAAACAAAGGCCATAACAAGAGAGAAAAGAAGATCACTACATAATACTAAAGGGATGAATTCTACATAACCCTAGTAAACATATATGCACCCAATATAGGAGCACCTAAATATA